TGCCTGAACCAGGAAGAAAAGTGGGGTTTGATGCGGCCCTTAGCTCTTTGGGGCTGGTCGCTTTGGGTTACTCGTCTGCTAAGTTCTCGGGGTTTGGCTCTCCTGGCCGTTCACATCTAGGGGGTGTCCATCCTCCTGGTGGACGGTCTGTCCTGGTTCATTCCCTTTTCCATGGAATGGACGGTCCATGCCGACTCATTCAGTTAGCTCTGCCAGATGTTCGGGCACCCAGAGGTGGACCTCTTCACATCGGCATGGTCGAGGGGTCTTCCAGTATATGTGCCGCCCTTTCCCGACTGCGAGGCCGTCGGGGTTGATGCCTTTCGGCAGGACTGGTTGTGGTGGGGGTTCCTGTACCTCTTCCTCCCCGGTTCAGCTGTTGCTCCAGGTCCTGGCTCACATGGAGACTTAACAGGGGAGAGTAGTCCTTCTGGCCGCTTGGTGGCCGGCCCAGCCTTGGTTTCAGGTGCTGCTTGCTCAGTGTCCGAACCTGGAGGTTTTCCCGCGGCTCCGCCTCTTTCAGCAGATCAGCCCGGTTCGTTATGAGACTGGTTCGATCTTCTCCTCGAGTCTTGGTGTCTGGAGTTTTTTTACTTGAGTTTATCACCATCTCTATGGTGATCAAGTGGCTTCTTTGATAGTGTCCCACCTGCGGGCTTCGTCTCGGCAGCAGTATGAAGTGTCCTAGCGGTCCTTCCGGTTCATTTTGTCTCTCCGTCATTGTATTTCGCTTTCAGTTAAGTTGTTTTGTCCTTTCTCTTGTGGCTGTTTCTGGACCGTCATCTGATGCCAAATACTGTTGCCTCATATCGTGCGGCGCTGGCGGAGCTGCTGCAGCTTGCTTTCGGCATTGATGTTATGTGCCATTTTGCAAGCTGTCTCGTGCGTTGTTTCACCTCCGGTTTCCTTTCTTTCCTGTTCCTGGGTTCAGGTCTCTCGGGTTGTCCTCTGGGTTATTCGGTCCAGCCAGCCTGCGGTCTATCCCCATGCCCGTGACGTTTGTAAGTTTGCTGCATGTACTGCCATCTTTGCTAACATGTCTTGGGTTGACATTTCACTGGGTTTTTGGCGGTCGAACAGGGTCCTGGCTGCACGCTACCTCGTAAATGTTCCTAGGCCTAGTCGGACCTGTGTCGTTTTGCGTCGGTGGTTGCAGACAGTTGTCTCGACTTCGAGTTAAGATGCGAGCACCGACCGCCTCTCGGGTAAGTCCCCTCTTGTTTTTGTCTTTGGAGAGGTAGCTCCGGGGAGCCAAAGGAGCTCCCCCCAGAAAACCAGCGTTAAATGTAATGAAGTGCCATTTTCTAAGTGAGTCCTGGAGGTTCCTGCACCCCCTTCCCCCCTGTCAGCGGTTTTTGCGTGTTTTGACATCCATCCTTAAGAACTAGTAGTTGGATCGCTAGTGCGGTGGGTCTGGGGCTCCCCATTTCCCCTCGGGAAGGGGGGAGCTGCGCGGACAAGCGGCGTGGCTCGTGTGACGTCGTGCTTGATTGCTCGTTTTCATTTGGGGAGTTCTATCCACTCGTTTGGCTATGGCTATTTTTGTTGTTTTAACCAAAATAGAGGTTTGTTTTGAGGCGCTTACCTCTCTGGGTGCTTGTCCCGGTCGATGGCAGATATAGAATGCTCCAAATCACATGTGCATTTCTATAGACCATTGCTCCTCGAGCCTCTCTGAGTGGACCAGTTTCTGGCCATGGTCCTCGGTAGACTTACAACTCCATCCACACATTGACTGATGCCAAAGGTTATGGATATACATATCAGCCTCTGGGAGTCACCCAGAAAATGGCATTTCATTACATTCAACGCTGTGTAATTTGTGGAATTTATAAGAGTTAAATGTGTGAAACATTGCTATTCTCCAAAATATGGGGGCCATATATAGTGTCACATATTTTATATTCTTAGATCAACCAAACAACATTTTTGTTGTTATTACGGCACGTTATATATCACTATCAACTTTATATGCACAATAATATTCTGTACTGATAAGCAGTTCTGGTGGGTATGGTAATGAAATCAATACATAGTGTTAAGCCACAAGCAGACGATGCCGGCAGTCACATGATGCAAGACAATACCTCCAGTATTCTACATATTTTGCTATGACCAGCTACAAAACTGCTCTTATTACCACATTCCTATCACAAAAATCCAGAATATGAATCATCCATTTGTGTGGATGGGTAGTTACTCATGGGTAATGCTTGGCGGACTTTCTAGTGTGCTGTGAGTAGTGCACCTGTTTATTTTTATCCTATATAAATATATCCCTGTAGAAAATTCTATTGCAAACAAATTGATACCAAAATAAACGATGTAACACAAAAATTGAGGTGAGAAAACTGAAAAGAGTATACACATTTGTGTGCAGGTGTTGCAGGTGTGCCAATGGGGGCTCGCTCACTGGTAATGCTTGGCCGACTTTCGGCTTTACTGCGGGGAAGTTGTGCCAGGCTTTTGTACCTTATATGCATATACCCCTGTAGGGAATTCTATTGTGAGCACATTGATACAAAAATGAACGACGTAGCATGAAAATTGAGGTGAGAAAATTGAAAAGAGACTACCCATTTTTATGCTCTTGCACGCTCACAGGTAACACTTGGCCAAATTTTGGATTTGCTGTGGGTGGCACTCCAGGCTTTTGGACTTCATTTGCATATACCCATGTAGGGAATTCTGTTTTGAACTCTATGATACCAAAATAAATGACATAACAAGAAAATTGAGGTGAGAAAACTGAAAAGAGTATACACATTTTAGTCTGGCCATGCGCTGACGCAAAACGCCCGTGCCAAACTAAAATAAAATATTGTATGTGGCAAACTTTAGCCGTGATGGAGCTGAGAAGTTAATCAAATTATGGGCACTGAGTGACAAGGTGACCCAGGGACGCTTGCCCCCCGCCACCCCGTGGGGCCGCAGTAGCCGCGAATATAATTATTCACAATTATTTCCATGTCTCTCATTCATTTCTTCTCTGTTTTCTGTGGGAAGCCTCTATGGCTCCCTGGAGCTATCAAGCTGATATATGTTGTGTTAGTCTGGGGCATTAGTCAATTGGAGTTCAGCCTACCAGGGACCACGAGCCAGAACCTGGCCCCCTCAGAGAGGCAAAGGGAGCATTGGCACATAGAAACTCCCATGTGGTTGGGGACATTCCATGTCTGCCATCAGCAGGAGTTGGCACCCAGAAAGGTAGGCATAACAAAACAAACCCAACTTGGTAAGAAAGTGCGACCAAACACCGAACTTGGAGACAGAACTCGCCCTGTAACTTAAGGAAACAAACAAATAAGCAAACGTAACACCTCACTGCACCCTTCGGGGTGGCAGTGAGGGCCTACATTCTACATTCCCTACTACAGCCTACTACAGCCTACTACAGCCGAGGGCCTACATTCCCTACATTGGGGCCTCGTAGCCTGGTGGATAGCGCGCAGGACTCGTAATTCTGTGGCGCGGGTTCAATTCCCGCACGAGGCAGAAACAAATGGGCAAAGTTTCTTTCACCCTGAATGCCCCTGTTACCTAGCAGTAAATAGGTACCTAAGTGTTAGTCAGCTGTCACGGGCTGCTTCCTGGGGGTGGAGGCCTGGTCTAGGACCGGGCCGCGGGGACACTAAAAAAAAAGCCCCGAAATCATCTCAAGATAACCTCAAGATAACCCCGCCTGTCCACACAGCTCCCCCCCCCCCTAGGAGGGGAGGGGGAGCCCCAGACTCCCAGCACCGGATACCCAAGCCATCCAGTTCGTTGGCTGATGTTGTCCGGGGCGGACGTTGACTCTGGCCTCAGATTTCAGTGCAGTTGTGTGCCTTCGTTGTGTGTTTCTGCTGTGTGTGAGGCGCAGTGGCAAGGTGTACCTTGAATAGTACTGGAGCTGCATGCACTCAGGGTTCTCTTCCCTGGGTGCTCTGTAAGTACTGCCTTTGGGTTCTAGGGTTCCCTTCCATAGAAGTTTTGGAAGGGGTCATAGGGGTCTTTGCTGCTCGGTTCTTACCCCCGCCCTTGGGACCAGCTGGGGTTTTCGTGTCTTCTGTTTGGTTAGGAAGTGGTATCTTTTGCTGGTAGAAGCGCAAGGAACTGCACAGCTCGCCTACCTTCGCGGTGGCCGGTTTCTGTTCCTTCTGGAGACATTAAACTTTTGCAAGGTTTTTTCTTTTATTTTTGTTGTAGGTCTTTTGTTGGTTTTGGAGGTCTAACATGGTCTTGGCTGCCAGGTATCTTGTTGATCTCGGTCGTCCTCTGCTGCCATGTGTTGTGCTGGCTTGTATTTTGTAGATATCGGTCACGCCTTCAACTTGATACCTGCTGTACTGCCATGTCCCTGGTAAGTGACCCTTTTGACCTGTGTGGGTAGTTAGCTTCAGGGAACCAATAGGGCTACCCACACAGAAAACTAGCATTGAATGTAATTAAATGGCACTGTCTGAGCCCCGGAGGCTCCCTGACACCCTCTCCCCCTCAGGTGTTGTCGGTGTTTTTTTTTCGTTAAGAACTGGACTTTTCGTGGCCTGGCTGACCCTGGCTGTCTCCCTCCTCCCTCCAGGTGTGGGGGTGGGGGGGGGGGAACTAGTTGGGGGTTAGTTTCACAAGATGGGGGAGTTCTTTTGGCAATTTTGAGGCTGCAGTTTCATGTTAACCATTCAGTTATTCAGTGGTCTGTTTTGATTTGCCTATCTTTCTGGGTGCCTTCCCATGGATGGTGGCAAAGGTGATAAACTTTAAATGTAAAGTGTTCATAGGGCTATCGCTCCCTGCGCCTCTGAGGGAGCTAGGTTCTGGCTCATGGTCCCCGGTAGACCAATTGAATTCTACCACTGATGACACCTAGTAGTGTGGCATTTATTCAGTGTGATAGCTTCAGGGAGCCTTCGGGGCTCACCCAGAAACTGGCATTTCATTACATTCAATGCTGTTTTCTTTATTGTTTAGCAAATATAATGTCCTAAGGTGAAACTGTAGTGTCTAATTTTATTCTTTTACAGGGGAGAGTGGTGGAAAATATTGGCAGAAGATGTGGTGGATTCCTGAAACAGCTCTCTTTACGGGGCTGCCAGAGTGTCAACGATGCAGCCCTCGTTACTTTTGCCGAAATGTGCAACAATATAGAAGAACTTAATCTTAATTACTGCAAGAATATTACAGACAAGTATGGCATTGTGTTGACAGTGTTGTACAGTAGCATTCAGGAATTGTCACTGGCATCTGCCTGTAAGATCACAGTAGTACAGTGGCTATATTCTAGACTCACAATTAGGGATCCTGGGTTCAATCCATAGGGGGGGGGGACAGAAATAGTTGGGCATGTTTTCTTTTGCCTAATGCTTCTGTTGACCTAGCATTAAATAGGTTCCTGGGAGTTAGACAACTGTTGAGGGGGCTGCATCGTGGGGGGAAGGTCAATACAGTAGTTGACCTGAGGTGAACCTCAACACATGCCTAAAGTTTATATATATATATACAAGCTTCCTTTTCACTGACAAAATTAACTATTATTAATATTATTTTTAATTATTATTATAAACTGAATGAACAGCATCTCGAAGCTTGAGGATGATAAAATTGGAGCTTGGGTCAAGAGAGATTTTGTCTTTTTGAAAGACTCTTGGCAACTTTGAGGCCACACCCATTTTCTGCTCCTCAAGAGCAGACTGGTCACGGGAATGCCATGGTGGAAAAATTGGTGCAGGATTTTCTGTAATACTCTAACTAAGGTATCCAATTACAGTTGTGTAGCTCCTTCCTGGTCTTGGCCACTGTCATCTGACAGTTACCTCAGCCCTCTGCCTAACTCGCACTGCCACATACCACATATCTACCATAACACATATCCTACAGTATATATTCCATTTGGACCATAATGAATTCACTGTGTTAGGTTGATGGCTTGGTTGACTTTCTTGAGCTGCCTGAACAGGTCCTCTTTCCTCACAGGGTGCTCATTCCAGGAGTTAACATGGACCACTGTCATCAGTGTACACTGCACATGTGTTGTGCTGGCAGTGTATAGTCTGTTGCTGCACCTTGGAGGACCTGCTCATCACATACTGGAAACAGCAGTAGCTCTTTTTTCATAGCAAGCTGTAAAACATTATATTGGCATAACCCATCCAGGGTAACAAATGCTAATAGCCTCTTTCTCTGCTCGGGAGCATAATTTGGTAGTAGCTCCTCAGTAAGGCAATCTTAGACCTGTCTTGCATTTCCTGTTTAGTCAATAATGTTGTCTGGGTTATAAGGTGACGGTAACTGTCTTCACCTTCCTGCATTTGGTGTGGAACCTATAAGCTCTTATCACTTTTTCTGAAGGGAGCCCCGTCGGCTCTCCAGAGCTATCCAGGCTGATATAGATATATTGGCTTTCTGGCATTAGTCAATGTACATGGAGTTCTTGCCTACCGGGGACCACAAGACAGAACCTGGCCCCCTCAGAGAGGCACGAGGAGCAATGTCCTATAGAAACCCTCGTGTGGATGGAAGCATTCTATGTCTGCCATTGACCAGGTCTGGCACTGTTGGGTATCTGGGGCTTTGACTCAAATATAGAATTATTAAATTATGAAAATTAATATAAATCAAAGGACCACCCACTTTTGGGAAAAGAGGGAAAACAAATAAAAGTGATTATAAGATTGACACTATAGAACCAGTGCCTATGTATGTTAACTTATTTAACAATTACTTAAAGAAAATGAATGGACTGTATTATTAATTGATTAAAGTTAAAAGCCTCAAATATCAACATTGGGGGGGTTATTTCTAGAAGTTCATATATATCTAGGAACCAGTGTGGTTTATCACTAGTTCATTAAAGGGTTAGTAAAATGGCAAAAATTTGAACTAAAATGTAGATTCAAAAATCATGAAATATTAAATAATCAATATATTGAAAGATTATTAACCCTTTAACTGCACAACGCGCCTGCAGGCCCACGTCTGGGGTGCGCTACGCGCCTCCGGGTATTTGTGTTTTTCACGTTCCATTCAAAACTTCAGCGGGCTACATGGGGTTCACATCAGCTTCCTCAGGGCTCTTGTAAACAGACGCCATCTTTAAAAAAATTTGTGGTCCACATTCTCAGGTGTGAGAGCCTCAGTAGTGAGTGAGCAACCAAGGCTGGCGCTCGCAGCATGAGCGCACAGTACTGCTGTTCAGTGTGTGACCACAGCATCGCCTAATAATGTCAAAATATATATATATATATATATATATATATATATATATATATATATATATATATATATATATATATATATATATATATATATATATATATATATATATATATACTGCTTTATTATGCATTTGATGGTTACAAGATATACATGGGTTGATACAAAAATAATAATGCAAAAAGGTGCTTAAAGGTTATGGATCTCTTGAAAAACACAACAATGGATATATATATATATATATATATATATATATATATATATATATATATATATATATATATATATATATATATATATATATATATATATATATATATATATATATATGTCGTACCTAGTAGCCAGAACGCACTAATCAGCCTACTATGCAAGGCCCGATTTGCCTAATAAGCCAAATTTTCATGAATTAATTGTCTTTCGACAACCTAACCTACCTAACCTAACCTAACCTAACTTTTTCGGCTACCTAACCTAACCTAACCTATAAAGATAGGTTAGGTTAGGTTAGGTAGGGTTGGTTAGGTTCGGTCATATATCTACGTCAATTTCAACTCCAATAAAAAAAATTTACCTCATACGTAATGAAATGGGTAACTTTATCATTTCATAGGAAAAAAATTAGAAAAAATATATTAATTCAGGAAAACTTGGCTTATTAGGCAATTCGGGCCTTGCATAGTAGGCTGATAAGTGCGTTCTGGCTACTAGGTACGACATATATATATATATATATATATATATATATATATATGTATGTCGTACCTAGTAGCCAGAACGCACTTCTCAGCCTACTATGCAAGGCCCAATTAGCCTAATAAGCCAAGTTTTCATGAATTATTTGTTTTTCGACTACCTAACCTACCTAACCTGACCTAACCTAACTTTTTCTGCTACCTAACCGAACCTAACCTATAAAGATAGGTTAGGTTAGGTTAGGTAGGGATGGTTAGGTTCGGTCATATATCTACATTAATTTTAACTCTAATAAAAAAAAATTGACCTCATACATAATGAAATGGGTAGCTTTATCATTTCATAAGAAAAAAATTAGAGAAAATATATTAATTCAGGAAAACTTGGCTTATTAGGCAAATCGGGCCTTGCATAGTAGGCTGAGAAGTGCGTTCTGGCTATTAGGTACGACATATATATATATATATATATATATATATATATATATATATATATATATATATATATATATATATATATATATATATATATATATGTCGTACCTAGTAGCCAGAACTCACTTCTCAGCCTACTACGCAAGGCCCGATTTGCCTAATAAGCCAAGTTTTCCTGAATTAATATATTTTCTATAATTTTTTTCTTATGAAATGATAAAGCTACCCATTTCTCTATGTATGAGGTCAATTTTTTTTTATTGGAGTTAAAATTAACGTAGATATATGACCGAACCTAACCAACCCTACCTAACCTAACCTAACCTATCTTTATAGGTTAGGTTAGGTTAGGTAGCCAAAAAAAGCTAGGTTAGGTTAGGTTAGGTAGGTTAGGTAGACGAAAAAACATTAATTCATGAAAACTTGGCTTATTAGGCAAATCGGGCCTTGCATAGTAGGCTGAGAAGTGCGTTCTGGCTACTAGGTACGACATATATATATATATATATATATATATATATATATATATATATATATATATATATATATATATATATATATATATATATATATATATATATATATATATATATATATGTCGTACCTAGTAGCCAGAACTCACTTTTTGGCCTACTATTCAAGGCCCGATTTGCCTAGTAAGCCAAGTTTTCCTGAATTAATATATTTTTTCTAATTTTTTTCTTATGAAATGATAAAGCTACCCTTTTCATTATGTATGAGGTCAATTTTTTTTTATTGGAGTTAAAATTAACGTAGATATATGACCGAACCTAACCAACCCTACCTAACCTAACCTAACCTAACCTATCTTTATAGGTTAGGTTTGGTTAGGTAGCCGAAAAAGTTAGGTTAGGTTAGGTTAGGTAGGTTAGGTAGTCGAAAAACAATTAATTCATGAAAACTTGGCTTATTAGGCAAATCGGGCATTGCATAGTAGGCTGAGAAGTGCGTTCTGGCTACTAGGTACGACGACATATATATATATATATATATATATATATATATATATATATATATATATATATATATATATATATATATATATATATATATATAAAACCTGTATTATTTAGCCATGATAGTATTATAGAAGAGCCTGAGTGTGATAATGACTGGGTACAATGTTCAAATATCGGTGATTCAATGCTGTTCACGATGTTCACAGCGAATGAACGGCACCACAGCATTATTTCGTCCATCTAGGAATCTTCAAACGATTTCTTACGTTCCTTTTCAAAATGAACTTGTGGTCAATTATTCATTTACAGGAATTAGTGACCAGGATTGTGGTTATAATTAGCGTTGTGCGTAGTATTGTGGAAGGAGGAATTTTGGTGAGGAGGGAGGGAGAGAATTGGGGTAGCCTCACTGTGTCAGCCACTCTTGTTTCACTCACTATAGTAGCTTCGTGGTTCACTATGGGGAACACACATGTACATGGGTATATACAGTGTGTGTGTGTGTGTGTGTGTGTATATAGTGTATGTAGTGTAATAACAGCAACAGGAGTATGTTGAGAGGAGCTATTTTGGTGAGGGAGGTGACGTCGTAATCGTAGCATCGTCTGCTGTCTGCTGTGTGATTTCTCATGCAGTGTATGGTGGCCACTGTACTGTTTGGACACAATACCGGCTTACTTGCATAGTTCTGGTAAATAAAACATGTAGATAGGTATATATATAACATGTGTAAATAGTGTAATAAAAACAATAACTGTATGGTGGGAGGAGCAATGTTGGCGAATACAATGTTGGAGGAGTGAGGGAGGGGGCTGGCTGGGTGTGACAGCTCACACTCGCGGTGTTCTGAATGTGTTGATGGTGAA